ATAATATAACCACCCATACTCCCTATTGCTCCATATCCAATTTTCATCCATCCGACACACTTGAGTTCAAGGAATGAATCGGTGTAGATCCATGGATTATGCTGCACAGAGTCAACACGTGCGATAAGACCTACATTTCTTTCCTCCAAAAAGCTCGTCCATGGACCTCTGGAGGGCTACTGACATCCTGGAAAACCACATTCCAATTTCCAATGTGTACGGGGTAGGGGTCATAATTTTTACACCCGGTCTGGGTGAGCTGTTTCTATTAGCTGACGGATCTCACATACCAGGGGACGATTAAGCTGCTCGTATGGCTTCCTCCGATAGACAATCACCTATTATTACAAATACAAACACCTTAGCCCGCTCGGCCATACCGGCCTGCGTACCTTAAGTAAAGGGATATTTAAAGAGATAAGATCTACTATTATCTTATTTGTTACGAAAAAAATTTGTATAAAGCATGGTTCGATTTTTCTCAGATAAACAGAGAATTTATGTTTTGTATTCTGTATAATTTATTTATTTATTGTACATAGAGTGTGAATGTGATCTCTGAACACTATCGTAAATGTCCTTTGAGACAGATTGTAATATTTTTCAATAAATGAGTTTAAAAAAAAAAATTACTAAAAATTAATGTTTGTTTAGTTATATCTTTCTATTCAATAAAAAATGTAATATACCTTAATAAAAATACAAAACATAAATTCTCTGTTTATCTGAGAAAAATCGAACCATGCTTTATACAAATTTTTTTCGTAACAAATAAGATAATAGTAGATCTTATCTCTTTAAATATCCCTTTACTTAAGGTACGCAGGCCGGTATGGCCGAGCGGGCTAAGGTGTTTGTATTTGTAATAATAGGTGATTGTCTATCGGAGGAAGCCATACGAGCAGCTTAATCGTCCCCTGGTATGTGAGATCCGTCAGCTAATAGAAACAGCTCACCCAGACCGGGTGTAAAAATTATGACCCCTACCCCGTACACATTGGGAATTGGAATGTGGTTTTCCAGGATGTCAGTAGCCCTCCAGAGGTCCATGGACGAGCTGTTTGGAGGAAAGAAATGTAGGTCTTATCGCACGTGTTGACTCTGTGCAGCATAATCCATGGATCTACACCGATTCAGTCCTTGAACTCAAGTGTGTCGGATGGATGGAAATTGGATATGGAGCAATAGGGAGTATGGGTGGTTATATTATGTAGTCGCACCACTAAGTCCATGGTTTAGTAACAACTTGAGGTTGGGTGACCCCCTCCAAGCCTTCACTCTCTCTCACTCACTCTCTCTCTCTTTGTTTCTCTCTCTCTCTCTCTCTCTCTCTCTCTCTCTCTCTCTCTCTATATATATATATATATATATATATATATATATATATATATATATATATATATATAAACAAGTTTTGGGAATAAATTCTTTGATTTATTTTGGATTAATCTTATTATATTTCAAATTAACAAATTTTAGGAAGATTCCAAACCAAAGCCTAAAGTATCTATGTATCAGTCAACGTTTCCCCATTTCAAACACCACCAGCACCTAAAACTATTAGATCAAATAAATATTAACCGTATATATCACCTCTTACATCAACAATATAGAAAAGATAAATTAAATAGAGATAGATCTTATAAATCTGAGTAGCTCTAGCTGCTCAGTATGTTAATTTCATTTTCGTCACTTTATTGAAATTTCACTTCCATTATATTTTTAATGTAATCAGCTATTAATATTAATGAAAACCCATTTATTATTTCTTCATGAAATGAATAGAAAATAGTTAGATATGTAAAATGATGAGGAAAAATTATAAACATAAGACGCTTAGTTTAGTTGGTAGAATGATATGAGCCTTTTGGTTGACAGAATGACTAACTCCGATTTCAACATTTTTTATTATTAATTTTAGTGCTATTTCAAGCAGGAAAATTTATACTTTTATTCACGATTCTATATTTGAACATTACAATAAACTTAATCATTGTCTGTACAGATATAATAAATTTTTCAACTATAAATATCAATTAAATGACAACTGAAAACAGCTGAAAATGGAGTTAGTCATTACGTCAACTGAAACGCTCATCATTCTTTTTTTTTTTTTTTTTTTTTTTTTTTTTTTTTTTTTTTTTTTTTTTTTTTTTTTTTTTTTTTTTTTTTTTTTGGTTTGGGATAAATTGTCTTAACTTCATAATATATTATTATTAATAAGAAAAAAATCCAAAAATGGACAGTCTGTATAATGGTGAAACTTTTTTTCTTCTAAAATCAATTCTGATATTAATCATAAGCTCATTAGTATATGTGGCTAAAGCGTTCTCGCTCAAACTCCACTCGCTTTAGCACCAGTGTCGCGGTTGAGAGAGTAGCGCAGGGATCTCTTGGAGTCCTGCTTTTCCCTCTATAGTTAGAGGGACAAGCATGGCTTGAGGTTCCCTACCTAATTTTATATATTCTATATAGGTATAACTGAGCTTTTATGTTTTTAATTTTCTTATCTTTAGGTTATTTTATTTTTTATTGTACATAGTTATTGATTATCATTTAGTTATTATTTTACTTTCGTTAATTTTATGTTTTCTGTATATATGGTGTGAATGTGTTGATATATCACTATAATTATTGTCCACGAGACAGATTATTATATTTCTAAAAAATAATAAAAAAAAAATCATATGCTAATATTTAGCTGAAACATTGATCAGGGTTGGTTAAAAATAACCACCGCTGTAGTAAAATGATTATTTCTGGAACATACGAAGTTACGAAACAATGATTATCCACTTCGGCTTGCAAAGTAGAAACTCAGAAAGCCGGAAATATAAAGGGAGGCTAAACCTGAGACCGGGAAAAACAAGAAAATCACGCCATGATTGCTGCCACAACACCGACGTAAGGAAAATATTCACAGAGAGTTTGCCTTGTTCTTTTGACATTTTATCAAAGACATTCGGGAAAGTGGTGTAATATCGTGTGCTTCAAGAATAACGAATTCTAGAGGAAACAAAATTTTATTAAACTTATCAGCTTGTATACTTTTTTATTTAATTCCAACGATTGAAAGAACTTTATTATTCAATAAATAACTTAGCTGTGGTATCTTATTATTTCATAAATATTTTTTGTATCGGACGGTAGATTTTATTAAACTTATCAGTTTATATACTTTTTTTATTTAATTCCAACGATTAAAAGAACTTCATTATTCAATAAATAACTTAACTGTAGTATCTTATTACTTGATAAAGATGTTTTTGTATCAGACGATAGTCAAAGCAGTACATTCACACGAATTACAGAAATTAAGGTTAATAACCTTAGACATAATAACTTATTACCACAATGGAAATGTATACATTTTATGTAACGTTAAAAAATTGTAAGCTGTGTAATTCAGTCAATGACGTTTTCACCTGAATTAAGATTATTTAATTACTTTTTTCTTGGCAGTTAGTACTGTAATCACATTTATATGTATAAAAGAACATCTATTTAAGTCAATAGCAGTCATTATTGGCCGTACTCTAGTAGAACATTATGAGTTCTTTCGATATTTTCAAGAGATGTTATGTTAGGTTTGGATGAACTGTAAATGTTTTATTTTTCAATTTCAAAGAAAAAAAGGGTCTTTCATTCTGTATAACATACCTATATACACTATTTACAATCTGGCGAGAGAACTTCGAGCCAGACTTGTCCCTCCAACTGTGGAGGGAAAAGCATGATTGCAGAAGATCCCTGCACTTATCTCTCAACCGCGTCACTGGGGCTAAACCCAGTGGAAATTGAGTAAGAGTGCTTTAGTATTTTTTATAGTAACTAAAAATTACTTCATAGTAAAGTAGGCAAAACTTCCTTTAAATACAAGAAGGGTTTGTCTTTGTTAAAATCATTTAAAAGGGGTTCTCAAGCAGTTCCGGCCTTAGATTGGGGCAGCCGGGGCAATTGCCTCAGGGCTCCGACCTGGAGGGGTGTCCGTTAGGGTCGCAGGACGATCTTCATGGGCGTTCCAAACTCGTTAGGATTTAAAAAAAAAATACAAAATATATTATAATAATTAATTTTAGCCTATCAATACAGCAACTTAGTTAGAGGAATGATGAATGAAATAAAATTGAAATATTACATAATATAAAAAGCTTAAGAAATATTTAATTTTTTTTTTTTTGCTGGGGGGGAGGAGATGATGTCATTAACCTTGGGGGACGCCCGCTGTCTAAGGCCGGCAATCTCAAGCGACCGAACCATGCTGTGTTTTTAAAAATAAAATCGTGGATTATTCAAATGAACTATAGAAAGCCAAAGTTTAGAAAAACTTTCTCGTTTAATAGGCTTTAAGTTCACATTAATTTAGTGCAGGTTTGTTATCGAATTGTTTAGTATTCATTGTTGTTTTACTCACCAGAGTAATTTTTATTTTGAATGTAATTTAAAAGGGCATTAATAATAATAATAATTGTAATATTACAATAATATAAATCATTGTAATTAACAGATGTGGATTTGTAAATAATTTTTTTAATAAATTTCTAATATTTATCTGTTAAAAGATCAATGTTATCAATCTAGTCTTGGTTTTCAACGGTCCACATCCCCTGAAAAATTTCGTATGTAGAATATTTTGAATAATTAAATACTTATACTAACGTTAACCATTTAACAGCTGGTTAACCTAAAGGATAATAAAAAATAACTCTTTAACAACTATTTAATGAGGTTACTTATATAAAATATAGCAATATATAAAATCAAAATTAATTTTATTTTTTTAAACGCCTCATTACGTTGAAAAACATGGAGAATATAGCTTTAGTTAATCTTATTCCCTCATGAAATGCCCATGTTTACCTTATTCTATTACTATTTATTTTTGGTTATTGCTGTTTGATTTAACATCATCACCCGCGATCTTGATTAATAATAAACAATTATATAGTGAATTTTTCCTAATATTAATCCAATAAAAAAAAAATTGTTTTGTTTCAGGGATGGAGGAAGCGGACAACCGACAACTTGTCAAACACTTGTCCAAGAGCGCCTCCGAACTTCAGGGTCATCACTCGCTAGCTCACAGGACGCAGTCCTTATTCACGTCTATAAAAGTAAGTAGTATATTCTAAATTAATTGAATTAAAATTAAAAATATGTAATTAATTTCATTAAACTAACTATAAATTGAACTAAAAAAAAAAAAAAAAAAAAACGTTGCACGTGCAGATTTCGGTAAAATTTTAGTTTTAAAATGGTACAATTTTACTTGTACTTGTTTTTTTATTATGATCAATTCATTGAGAAATATTATAATCTGTCACATCCAAGCACACTAGAAATAGTGATAGAGTAGCTCATTCACACTTTATATACAATAAATAAATTAAACAGAAAAATAATAATAATTAAAGTAAATGTAAAAAAAAGTCATGTCAGGTCTTTGGCGTTTCAAATAACATCCATTTTTCATTATATAGTTTATTATTTATTTCTAAGAATAGTAATGTAAAAATATTAGATCGTATCAATATAGACTGTATTTAGCACATCTTGCATATACAAGATAGTATATATGTAATATACTGATGTATTTTGTAATATACTATTCAGGTGATTCAGTTCTTAATGGTTAAACTCTGGAAGGTGATTCTAAACTATATTTCCAATAAAAAGTTGCATCACAGGCGGATTTACGGGGGGGGGGGAAGACTTTCGGGCTGAAGGCCCCCCCCCCAAAATGGTTAAATGTAACCATGTTTTATGGTAAAAAATATTAGAACATTATGTCTTAAAGTATTAATGTTCGTTTAATTACAATTAATAGGACTTCAAGAATCACTTAAACACCGTTTCATATAGGTAGTTAGTATCTTCCTGTTTTTCCAAAGTAATTATCGTTATATATATGAAAAAAAAAGCTTCCTGGCTGAAGCCCCCTCCCCAAAATTAAATCCTGAATCCGCTAGTGAGTTGCATTAAATGTGTGGGCCGGTTTCGAACGGAAAAGGAGTTACGTCCAATCTTGTGTTTGCTTTAGGTTTTTTTATTTTTTTTATTTTAATGAAATTTACAACTGTATTACATTAAAAATACAACAAGTAAATGTGACATTGGTAACATGACATGTACAACATGAAGAGAAACTACCCATTGGTAGAACTCAAAATGTTTTCTTTAGGTGTTCACGTTTTCTCTCTCTTAATTAAAAATTGCTTCAAAGTAAACTAGACAAAATTTCCTTCAAATTCAAGTAGAGCTTGTCTTTGTCATCCCCATTTAAAGGGAACTTTTGAGCAGCTTAACGCTAAAAGCTATGTTTTTCGTCATCCTACATACTACAGATTCCCCATCTTTATAAAAAAAATCCTTGTTTAATAAGTTATAATTCAATATCAATTTAGTGGAGGCCTGTTGCAGAATAGAGTTGAGATTCGCCTACATTTATGTGAAGAATTATGAGATTTGGTATTCTATTTCCCTAAAGTATCTGTATTTTCAGCGAAAATAACAACCGAGAAATTATAATGAAGTTTTAATTCCTTCTTTTTATTGTGACCTGAAATCTATTTTAGTAAATTATATATTCTTTTTATTCATTAAAAAAAATATGTTAAAACAATACTCCTTTCAGTCCAAAGTCTTCCGAACAATATTTGATGTTCCGTTCTATGTAACCAATAAGACCCTACATCATGACTTTAACATTCCATTTGTACTAGACCTTAAGTTTTCCCTGAAAACTTTTCCAAATTCCATTAGAACCTTACTAATCATCAGAATCCCCTTGAACAATCCCTATCTGGTTCCACTCATTCCTACAATCCTCCTCGAAGGTTGAAGTGGCAGTGGCCCAGAGATCTTTTGTAGTACATATCTTGGGGTCTGACAATGGCCAGTTTCTTCACTCAAGACATAAGTGTATGTGGTTAAAGCGCTCTCGCTCAATCTCCAGTGGCTTTAACACTAGTGACGCGGTTGAGAGAGTAGCGCAGGGAGCTCTTGTAGTCCTGCTTTTCACTCTATAGTTGGAGGGACAAGCCTGGCTTGGTGTTCCTTACCTGATTGTATATAGGTACTTTGTATATACATTGTATTTTTGTATATATTACTTATATTGTATATAGGTATGACTGAGTTTTTATGTTTTTAATTTACTTATCTGTAGATTATTTTATTTTTCATTGTACATAGCTGTTTGATTATTATTTTAATTTTGTTAATTTTATGTTTTCTGTAAATATAGTCTGAATGTGTCCATATCTCACTATAATTATTGTCCACGTGACAGCTTATTATATTTCTAAATAAATAAAAAATAATACGGCTTTATCAAAAATGTATTATCTTAGGTGATAATGAACCATTTTTTTATAACACATATATCTATTTTGGACATTGATCCTTATGGTATTGAGTTACTAACTAAATGTTTTTTATCCTAATATTTACGTTTACGTGAAAAAAAGTTAGCAATCATAATAGCCACCTTGTTATTATTAGTTCCTATAATCCCTTAGGTGGGACATAGGGCCGTCACGAAGGTCTGCCAGGCATCCTCGATCTTAAGCTCCTTGACTCCAGACCAGGTCCGTGCGGCGCTGCGCATTTCCTTCTCTTGAGTCCTCCACGTTTCTCTCGGCCGTCCGCGTCTTCGCTGGCCTTGGGGGTTTCACTCTAAACTCTGCCGTGTTATGTCGTTGTGCTCCTTTCTAAGCGTATGCCCCAGCCATATTCATTCCTGACGTTTAATGACCTGATCTATCGGGACTTGATTAGTTTGCGACCAGAGCTCGGCATTAGAGATTGTTTCAGATCACCATACTCTCGATATATTCCGCAGACTTCTATTGACGATTGTCTGTAGCTTCTTGGGCACCTGCTTGGTAACTTCCAATAGCCATCTTAAGAAAACAAAAAAATGGACTTCACTCCTTTTTGGTTGAAATCGACCCATATTTTTTGTTGTAAATTTTGTCTACATTTGCCTACATTACCTCCCAGAGTTTGTCCACTCAGAACCAAGACCCTGTATGTATACATATACATATACATATAAACACATATACATATACGTATAGGATTTAGAATATTTTGAGAGACCTATAAATTATCGTGAACATCTCCTTTAGAAAGAAAAATGCAAGCACAAAGGAATAAGATAGATTTTAATTTTTAATAAATCAGAATTGAGCATCAAGCTTAATTGTTGAAATATATTATTCTAATAGACTCGTATATAACGGATAAAACGATTTGATAAGGGACCGAAATACCGAGAGGCTAATGAAGACCGAGATCCTCCCGTTTTGATGATAAATGGAGTTGCTGAGACTAAGGGAACCATTTCTCAATCGACCCCTCAACTTAGCCCAATCACACAATGCTCCTGCCAGTAGATTCATAAGGTTAAATCGTGCCTTTAAATTATTTACAAGAATGGGAAATCTACGCTACGAGCAGCGCTCTAACTTGTAAAGAGCATTAAAAGGAGGAATATGAAATTAATCTGACAAGGGGAGGTTACGGATATGGAATCGCAGATTTCAGTGTTATCTTTTTGGTGATACTAAGCCTAAAAATATTAGATCCATGTCCGAAGGTCCTTGACAATGCTCCTCAGGGGCTGAGAAAAATAAATGAATTTTGACATTTTTTTCTCCCTTAAGTCTAGATTGTAATATATCAGTCGGTTTTTTACTTTTTTTATACAAATAAAAAAACACATGTTCTTTATTGTATTAAACGATTTCAAGTGTATATTAAATTACAAAAAACCAAATGACACATCTAGTAAAGTAGGCCGAGTAAATTTTTGTCATGGAAAATAGATCCCGATTCTTTTCTAGTGCCCTTTAAAACTCTTTAACACGAATTGGTTTGAAAATAAATAAAAATTTAGTTATCATACCTGTTGACACATAGCGAAATATTGACTAGAATATTTCTTTTTTCGATTCCAATGAAAACTTTCTCAATATTTCATCTAAAATAAAGCTTTAAGCACAGATAGATCTCGCAAGAACTATTATTAGAAGGCGAGATATTGAGCAAAACATTTTTATTTTTAGATTGAAATAAAAACTCTTCTTTAAGGATATTTCAAGATGTGAAAAAAAAATAGCAACTTTATCGCTAAAAATAATTTTATGAGATCCGTATTGTTGTCGTGTATAATATATACAATACAATATGCAGTGATGCATGATTTTGTAAATAATCTATTAAAGGTTTAATTGTAAATGACCTTTTCGGTGGGCATTGTGAATATTCCTTCCGTTTATCGAGGGACTAGGTTATTTACACTCGTGAATATTAAAACAAAACCCCGGGACTGGATATAGACTTTTTGAGGGTATTTATTTGTCGTTGGGAATTCGGGAACCTAATACCTTTTTGTAACACTGAGTGACAAAAAATAATAAGAATATATATATGAAATGTGGGACTGAGTAAATACACTTTGTATGAATTGACTCACTTGATTTGTTATTCTTCAATTGTGAGGCATATATGTGAGACAACTAAATAAAAGGACTATTCACTCCTGTGTAACAAAACAATTTATTTTGACAACTGTAATAAATGAATCTATTAAAGTCTTAAAACTGTAGGCTTGATATTCTTAATCTTCTGTGTAGTAGGCTTCTCTTCTCAGGTAACGTCCTTTCCCCTTCATGCCCCAACCTCCAGTGTCTTTCTCTTCTCTCCAGCGTCCTTCTCCAGCTGCTGCCTGACCGGTTCTTTTTCCTTCTTCATCGATTGTTTATCGATATGAGACTTTTCAATGAACAATTTGTCCACTGCACAATTGAGTACAATTCACAGAGCACCCTCACATTCCTATATATTCCTTTTCATTACATCACACAATGCCACATAAAGGAGTAAATACTGAAGGCTATCTACTACAATTTGTGTTTTCAGACCAAATCGGGACAACATGTATTTTGTGTAATGCTATTCTAGATACACGTCCGGTTTAGAAAATTTCTTTTTCGTCACAATGTTTTTGTACAATATTGATTTTCTTCTCTGTTTGATTTTCTTCCCTGAAGGTAGGTGTATAAAATATATTTGGCTCCTTCTCATTTTCATTCCGTGTAAATCCTAGTATAAATTTTTCATTAAAATCTCTGACTATTTATCATATTACTCATCTAACTAGTAAATCAATAAGTTCGCTTAATAAGAATCTTCCTTGCCGACTTTCGAAAGATTTTTTTTAAATTTAAAAATAAGCAAGCTATTTTACTCGCTTGTCAGTTTCATAGGTGAGCATAGAAGAATATCACAGGCGATGGTATCTCTGGAGTTCAGCGTAAATATTCATACATCAACCCTTCTATTGTTGATTCTGACATTGACGGATTGCCACTAAGAAAATGGCGTGAAACTCCATAAATATGGAAGTGACGGCTGCACTGTTTTTAGCTCGCGTATTTGTAGGTCCCTTTATTGAATGCTTAGCGCTTACATATTAATAGAGTCTATTTATATTTTTACTGTAAAATTTAAAAGAAAATTCTTATAAACAATTTTACTCTGTATTCTTTATACATCAGCCAATGTTTTATATTATTGATATTTCTCATTATTCATTTAATCGTTTTGTTACTCTTATGGAGTGCAGTTTATACTTCGCTCATGGAATAACATAGGCTGTTTATATAAACACTAAAATAATTAACTACATATGGTTTTACGCATACAAAATATACCCTTATAACTGTTATGTAGTGTCATCGTTTATCATTTTCTAATATCCTTGTAATATTAAAATCCGTTTAAATTCAAAGGGGAATGTTTAATTGGGTGATAGAACTCATGAGCTACAGAAAAGTTTATGCAAACTATGCTCTGATTTTTCATTGAAAATTAGGTAATTTAAGTTTCGTGTTCTTTTATGTATCACGGTTTTTAGTTGAACAGGAAGCTACAACTAAAAAAATATTTATTTTATGGTAATTAATAACTACTTCATAGTAAACTAGACAAAATTTACTTTAAAAGCAATTATTTTTTGCCTTCGTTAAAAGCATTTAAATGGGACTTTTAAGTGGCTGACCTATGTATGTTCTGTTTTTCATAAAATCAATGAATAACTGCATTTTTTTTAGATCTCCCTCCTACACAACAACAGTTATGGAAAACACTTCCTTGTTTAATAAGCTTTATGTTGATATTAATAAGTTCTGTTATATATATATATATATATATATACATATATTGGGTTGGAAAATAAGTCCTTTCGGTTTTTCAGGGTGAAATAAAACTCAATGTATCATAGACATAAAATTGATTTTAATCTACAACATATTGGCCATTATTTATCATCTTTCCACTAATTGCATAATGCCATGTTCATACAATGTCTGGAGTTTATTGTTAAAAAACTGATCCACGTGGTTTTTGATGCCCTCTTCCTTTTTTTTTTGAAATTTCTTTCCATTCATGAAGTTCTGCAGAGACCGGAATAAGTGGTAGTCACTTGGAGCTAGGTTTGATGAATAGGGAGGGTGGGGCAAAAGGTCTCATCCAAGGGTCGGAATAATTTATTGTGAGTGACCAATGAGGTGTGGGTCCTAGCGTTGTCTTGGTGGAACACAACACCCTTCTGATCATTCATAACTCTTCAGGATGTTCTCCGAATTCGATGTTACTATATCCGTTGGAAATCTGAATTATTGTTCTTTAAAGCCGTATGAATGTTTTTTTTTTTTTTGGATTTAATAAGGAATAAATAAAGCAAAAACTTCTTATGAATTTTTATTTTTTATCTATATTTGTAGTTTGTTTACGAAAGTCCTGTTGATGTCATTTTGTGTAGTTTATGTGGCCCTAATTTCCTGCTAAATTTCTTGTAGATAGCTAAAGTCGTATTGAAGTTTTAAAATTTTTTGTGATTATCGAAAAAAAAACATCATAAGCCACAAAACTTTGATTCCTGAGGAAACCAAACATCAAGACTGGAAACATAGCCGAGCTTGTGCAAACGGTTTTCTACGCTTGTGTGCGACACATTTAGGGCCATAGCAATCTCTCGCACTTGTGGGATTTTGATCAACAATGACCTAAACATTGCTCGTTTCAATTTCATGTAGGCGACCATACCGTTGGGAATCATTAATGTTAAAATTTCCTGAATGAAATTTGGCAAACCAATTTTGACAGGCGCGTTCGATTAAGGCATCATCCCCACAAACACTGCAAAATTTTCTATGAGCTTCTGCAGCACGCTTACTTTTTTTAAATAATATAACAAGATATGGCGATAATGAATGACATTTTCTTCCATATTCACAGTGCAATAGCAAACACTGAGCTAGTTTCAACAAGAGTTAACAGATAGAGTAGTTGACATATTACTAACAGGATAAACAATCCACCTTATGGATTAATTCATCAGATAAGTAGTGTATCATAGTGACATAAAAATAAACAGAAAAACCGAAAGGACTTATTTGCCAACCCAATATACATAAAATGTGATTTAATATTCTGCCACCCCAAAGTATCTGTGTTTTTATCGAAAATAGCGATAATAATTTATTAAAAAGCCATATTTTTTTTTTAATAGCTCGGTATGTATTTTAATAAATTAGCACAAAAAATACACTTTTAATTTATGAAAAAGAATGTTAAAAAATAATTTTTTTGCAAGATATTGTGGTCTTAAGTCATAATGAAAAATGTGTTTTTATACAGAGAGAATTGGTCCTTATTGTACTAAGTGACCATCTAAATGTTTTTTATCCTAACATTTACGGTTTTAAGAAAATAATTCATGCAATTGGTGGAATATATTTTTTTATTAAGAAATGTTATCACATTTTTAATATGTGGATGCTTGAGTTTTTTCAAACTTATATGAACTAATTGTCACTGTTTCTTTTTAATTTCACTGTTATTTTAGGTAGAATGCCTATACCCTCTCCCCCAATATTTTATGAAGTAATTTACTTAAAATAACTCACAAATGAATCGCCTAGATAAAAATGATATTATTTGTTGGTCAATGCGAATAATTCACATAGTATATTGGCAATTGGAAATTAAATGCATTATGAGGGAGGAATTAATTGTTTTGTCCTTATTCGATTGTAGCGGTTCATTCCAAATAATAAACAAAAGCATGTGTAAAAAATACAATTGGCCGTATCTTTGCTAAAAATGGTCAGATTTTTTTTTTACTAGGGAATTTGGAAACTTTTCAAACTCTCTATATTACACCGTTAATTGTATATTGGAGAAAGAGATGGTCCGAGGTGGCGGTTATCAAGAAAAATTAAAAATAGTTGAAACTATTTTATTAAGCCGACGTTTCGATCCAACTATAGACGTCTTCATCAGGGCTGGAGCGAACAAGATGGCTATAGAAAACTGTAGGAGTTACAAT